CCCACAGGCCCAGCCCCGGCCCCACGCACGCTCTTGTACCTGTGGAGCGGGATGGGGGTGGCGCCCCTGACTGCTGCCACTCTGTGGCCTCGGCAGCCAGGCGCCTGATGTAGGTGTCACCCACACACAACAGGATGTTCTCGGGCTTGATGTCTGTGTGGATGATCTTGCACTTGGTGTGGAGGTAGTCTAGACCGTGTAGCACCTGGGAAGAGCCACTCCTGAGCCCCGCCAGCCCCGGCCAGGCTGCCTCCCGTTGCTGCCGACGTGGGGTGTGGGCTGCTGCTCACCTGCCTCACGATGCTCTTCACGCAGGGCACAGGCAGGCCCTGGTAGTTGGACTTGATGATCCACTTGAGGAGCTGGTGGCCCAGGACCTCCAGCACCATGCACACATCTGGGGCTGGGAGTGAAGGGTGGCTGGCAAGCACACAGTTGGGGCACAGACTATACCCGCTCTCAACCGGGGTTGGGGAGCAACCGGGCTTGGGTAGTGCAGAGCTGTGCCTGGACGATCCTGGTGGTCACCACCAGTCCAGTGTCATAGTGTCCCTGTCATGCCCAGGAGTGCCAGTTGGATGGTACATCCTGTGGTCATTCTACAGAGGGCACTGGAGGAGCAGACACGGGGACCTCAGGCCAGCCCCACCCCTACACCCAGGTATGCCACAGGCAGCAGCCCCCGCCATTAGGGGTAACTCAGCGACCCGGTATCCACTCCCCCCCATAAGAAAGTAGTGAGGGTATTTTGAAGACAAGTGTCACTGGAAGGCACAAACTCCCATCACGCAGACCAGCAAACGGAGGCCCTAGTAGCTGGGAAGGCACAAGCTAGCCCCCCTGCTGCCGTGGTGCTTTGCTCAGCCCTACAAGGATACGGACTCCATTAACCCCTGAGATCCTGAAGTCATCGATGAGCTGCACAATGGTCTCTCTTTTGGGGTCACTGGGGTCACTGTCTCGGACCTGGAGCAAAAGCCAAGGGGCCACGGATGGCGCCAACCTGCCCCTCACCGGCTGCTCCCGGCGGCGGTCCCCTCTCCCACTCTGGCGGGCCACTGGAAGAAAGGCCACCGGCCTCTCCTTTGCCGGCTCCGCCAGACTCACCCACTTGGACAGAGCCACTTGGAGCCTGGCCTTCTGGGGGCCCCGCGCCCCCCGCCCCAGGAACCCCTGCAGGCCTGCACCCACATGGCCAGGCCCCGGGCAGCTCCCAGGGAGCTGGGAGTCGGTAGGGGAGGCGCCTCACACATTTCAGGAGCTTGATCTCATCCACAGCTGTCTCTGTGTAATGCCCTGCGCTCTTCACCACTTTCAGGGCCACGAAGCGCTTGCGCCTGCAACACGGACACTTGCATCGGCTGCCAGCCCCGGCCAGACACACGGGCACATGGTGGTGGCCACAACCAAGCCCAGAGGCAGGATTCCAGCTGGCACCGGGCGCTGGGGGGCAAAGGGGACACTCACTGGATGTCCCAGCACAGCCAGACAGTGGAGAAGTGGCCCCAGCCCAGCTTGCGCACCACGTGGTACCGTCCATTGAACAGGTCGCCGATCTTCACGGGATAGTAGCCGCCTGGGGAAAGAAGCCAAGAGTCCATGGGACCGTCAACCTTCTGGCCCCTTGGCCCAAGTGCACTGGCACCAGCACCCTCCTCCTCCTGGAATGTCCTACCCCCTGCAGCGGCACCTGGCCATCTGTGCCCCAGGCCAGGCCTCACCCTTGCAGTAGTCCTTGGGGTCCTCCTGTTCCTCATCATCAGAGCCCAACAGCCCCTGCAGCATCCGAGGCGCCGCAGTGGCGGGAGCTAGTTCGGAGCCCGAGGACTCGGGCCCGCAGGAAGCCTGTGAGCTGCGGGTGGGTTGGGCCAGCAGTGAGCGCGCGAGGTGCCAGGGGCCCCGGCGCCCCCTCCGAGCCCTACCTGCTGCTGCTGCCGACACTGTCCCTGCCGCCACCGCCTGCACTGGTGCTCATCCCGGCCTCAGGGCCTACAGCTCCGGCACCCCCAGGGCTGTTCCTGTGGGGCCCGGCCTTGGCCACTGCCTTTATAGCCTCTGCCGGCCGCTGATCTCACCCGCCTTTATAAATAGCCTCCCAGCTGCTCGGCTGCGGGCAAGGTATGCAGTAGGGCGGGGACAGCGTGGCGACAGAGCTCCTGAGAGTCTGGCCCCCAGGACAGGCCCCCAGGGCAATCCCCCTGCTGCTGCCTCAGGGCTGGCAGAGGGGGCCACCACACGGACACCGTATGACTCAGCCTTCATGCCGAGCAGCATCCCCATCACACCCCAGGACCAAGGGGTGTGATCACCCCCATGGGGACACAGCAGTCAGTCCCCGGGCTGAGTCCTCAAACTCCAGAGCCGGCTGAGGGGCACAGCCAGGCAAGGCCACCATGGACATGGCAGCCCAGTCCTCAGGCCAAGCCCGCCACCAGTTTTGGAACATTCTCTGGCTTCCCACTCGGCCCCTGTGGGAGCCTTCCCAGGGGACGCCTCCCATTCCTATGGGCACCCCATTCTCTGCCCACTCTCAACAGGTTCCCACTTTCTCTGTGCCTTATTGATCCCTAAGACAGGCAGGAACCCGGTGTCCTTTTCCTGAATGCGGGTCACCGAAGGCTTTGGCGTAGCAAGGGTCAGGGGCACAAGGTTTTTCAGAGGTACCGACCGAATGGGAACCTGCCCAACTAGGACTTCGCCACTGAGACCCTGTGTAGTCTCCCTTCCTCCTCTGTTGCAGGCCTGCCATCCCGGCCCTGTTCATCGTCTCCTCCAACATGTGTCATGTGCCCCCATGGGAGGCACAGGGAGCCGCCCACCCAGGCCCTGCCCTCAGGGGTACGCCTCTATTGGGGAGCAAACAAGCCCACAGCTCTAGCTGGCTAGTGACAGAGGGACGTTCAGGTTAGGCAAAGACTGTGACCTTGGAGCTGCATCCGAGGGACTAGAAAGAATCAAGTCCTCAGAAAAGCAGTGAACAGGTAAGCCTCCAGGGCAGCAAAGGGCCGGGTTGGGACGAGGCCAGCAGCAAGATGGGCTGGCGACCTCTGTGTCTGGCCTGGCCACAGAGTGGCTGGCGATGGGGGACAGGAGAGCGGGGAGGCCCCAGGTGGCCCAGTATGGGGTTCCAGCAGAGACTGATGGGCACTTCCGCTCTTTGGAAAGGTTACCCTGGCAGAGGGAATGGGGGGGCCAGAGTGGAGCCAGGAGTCCAGCCGGGGACTGTCGGGGAGTCAGAACGAAGCAGGTGAGCTTAGCGGTGACTGTGTGCTCAGCCCAAGATGAGAGACACTTGGTCCTGTGTCCCTGTGCCAGAAGAGGATTTGGTACAGTGAGGTGGGCATAGATGGGGGCAGGAGGACAGGGGTGTTTTTCCAGCAGGAGCCAGGGGGAGGCGAAGGGGGGGGGAGGAGAGCAAGGCCTGGGGGTGCCCGATGACTGCTCTTTTCCTCAGGCAGCAGAAGTCACAGCTATGGGACCAAGGAGAGGGCTGTGTAGACTCCAGGGGAAGGCAGAGGTTGGGGACTGGGCTTTTACTAAAAAGACAAATTTCTATTTTATTTCGAGATGCAGTTCTCCAGCAAGCAAATAAATACAATGAGGGAACAGAGGGAAGGATTGCTATAAATTAGAAAGAAGCCCGGGAGAGAGAAGAGGCTGGGGTGGGGGGGAGGTGACAAGAAACCCCCCACTCTCTGTCGGCCCTCTTCGGTTGCTGGCTCCATCCAGGGGTCTTAAGGCACTGTGGTGGCAGGTCCTGCTTGCTGCTCTCTAAGCTGGTGGGCCTCAGGTGCCGGCTGTGGCCAGAGCTCACAGGTCAGTCACTTTGTTCTCCACCAGGGCGGCGATCTGCTGCAGGCGGCAGGCCAGTTGCATCTTCTGGCCTACAGGGTCCTCCTCCAGGGCGCTGATGATCTGTCAGGGCAGAAGAGGGTTCCCTGCCTGAGCCCCAGCCCTCCGCCCAGTGGCCCAGGGCCACCCGACCCTGCTTCCACCTCAGCAGTGGCTGACGGCTGCCCCAGGCCTCCCTGGGGAATCTGAACAGACACCAAATCCCTTCCCAAACTGGGCCCTTCCTCCCCTCTGCCTGCTGGATTAGGCCTGAACACTCCTCTGCCCGCAGGGGGTGCCCCTTCCCCCGGAGAGTCCTGGCCTCACCTGGTCGTAATACCTGTGGATGTGGTTGTAGAGTTCGTGCAGGGCTTCCAGACAGTGAGGAGCAGAGGTGTAGCTCTGTGGGCAGCACATGGGCGAGTGAGGCCCTAGCCTGGGCCTCAAGCCCCAAGCCTCCCTCCCCTCCGCTCTGCCCCCCAAATGTGGAGAGGTGCGCTCCTGGGCCCTGCCTCACCCCTGAGAGCTCGGCCAGAGCTGAGTTCATCTCCTGGTAGCTGGCCGGAGAGTGGCGAATGT